ACTGCGGCACACTTACAGGCGTCCTTGGTGGCCTGGCGCTGCCGCTCGTTGAAGTAGGCGGGCACGGTGACCACGGCCTTGGACACACTCTGCCCGAAGGCGGCCTCTGCCGTGGCCTTGAGGTCCCGCAGCACCATGGCAGAGATCTGCAAGGGTACGACGGAGAACGCTTAGACGGACAGTGGCAGCGTGTATTTGTCGACGCGGCCTTTAGCTTTATCTGCTTACCTCCTCCGGTGCGAAGATTTCCTTTCTCCCGCCGACGTCCACCTTGATCCTGGGCACCCCATCCTGCTCCACCACCTCAAAGGGCCATACGCCCCTGTCCTTTTGAACGTTTAGGTCGTTCCACTGGCGGCCGACGAGCCGCTTGGCATCTGCGGCAGAGGGACTGGCTCGCTCAGGGGGCTCACGGTGAGGACGGGGAGGGGCTCACCTCAGACACGCACCGAACACCTGGTTGGCGGCGGGCAGGTCCTTGGCCGCATCCCCGACAAAGGATTGGGCGTCCAGGAAGCCGACGATGCTCGGTGTGGTGCGATTTCCGTTGTCGTTGGCGAAGATCTCCACTTTGCCCCTCCGGCACGCCCCCACCACCGAGTACGTCGTCCCCAGGTCGATGCCGACGGTGGCTCCGGGAACTTCGCGCAGATTGACTCCTACAACAAAAAATGCGTGATGTACTGCTACGAGATTCTCCGATGTAAAATCTACTCAGAAAACCAGGATTACAATGGAGAACTCCATCTTGCAGAAGGAGAGGAGGAGGACGGAACACGATAAAGCAGCATTTGCTCAGGTTTGGTCGTCTGCTCTCTCGACCAATCACAGCTATGAACAAATTCTATCCTTGCCAATCTCCCACATTCCTTTGTTAGAGTGAAGTTCCCCCTGACTAGCAATCTCGGTTTCGGAACTTACCGAGCACCTCCCTAGATAAAGGAGGTTAGGGGCCGTGGAGGGGTTGTCGCCCGCTCCCTTACGCACTTAGTCAGAAGGCTGAAAGGTAGCCGGTTTGCTGTGCAATCTGCCTGCATGTGGGGAATAGCTGCTACATGACACAGTCCTCCCAACAAGCAAACTTGAGTGGGGGAATAGCCCCCCCCCCCCCTACTTAAGTTGCAGACGTCGTCCCATTTGAAAAAACGTCCCGTACACAATTCTTTTCCAATGCCCCAGAGGTTGAGGAGGGTAGGGTGGGGGATTTGACATCAAGCTCGAACCCTCATCAAACTGACGCTGGTTTCGCGTCAACCGATGTCATCAACCAGTAAATTGGCAATCATGAATTTCTCACTGAATGGGGCGACAGCTTCACACTGACCTTTTCCTGACATGGCTCCTGCAGCACGGCCAACACGGTACGGTACGGTGATGGTTTATGGAGGAGCTCCTTCTCGTGCCTTGCGCTGCTCTCGTCTGCAGTGCTCGCCGACCGAACTGAACTGACTACCGCTGCGAAGTCAGTCCTCTGTGCCTGTGCCGTCCGTCCAGCGATAGCCGAGCCGGGCCGCCGGGCCGGGCCGAGCCGCGCCCGTTGCCGGCAGTGTGTTCCCCGAAGGTATTCCCCGCGGGTCCGGAGACCCGGCCGCCCCCGCCCCCCCCCCCCCCCTCCCCATCCCGCTCCCCCGGCCCGGCCCGAGGCGAAGTCGCGCGTACCAACTACCAACCAGCGGAGTACCCGCCGGCGGGTGTATTCCCCTGACTCCGCGGCCCCGCATTGAACCGCCCTCGACACTGGATGACTGCACCCAGTGGAATGGACGAGAACAGCAGGCTACTGCAGGCGAGACCCGTGATGATGGCGTCACAGGTTGACAGAAACAATAATTTGTGAAAGAACTTAGGGTTCTTCTAAAGACGCACGGGTCAGGTTCTCTATTCAAGAAATCCAAAACATCGTCGGCCCTTCCTCTTGGCAGGTAGACAATGTGAACTGCAAAACCCCTGCATATGGGCAGCTAACACTACATTCGGCCGACCCTTTTACTACGCCCCTGGCCCCTAGGGGTGGTGGCGGTAAATCAAGGCGCACACGCTGCCTCCCCCCCCCCGCCCCTAATTGTTTCACACCTGGATTTTTACACTCGAGTGATGCAAATGTCCATGGTATGCGAACCCGTGTGGGCGCTGAATAAATGTAAGCAGAGTAGGAAACACCGTGTTTGTGACAGTAATGAAAGTAAACGAATGGAAGCAGAGCTCTTTGATTTATTGTCCCGTTGATCTCTGAGGAAAATGCAGAGCTCCTTGTATACTTAAAAAAAAAAAAAACTACAAACAAAACACGGCAAGGACGTTTCTTCCTCTGTAAGAAGAAAATTGACCAAATACAGATAGTTTTTCATTCTTTGGAAAGCTTAAATGAGTTCTAAATTATATGTAACAAATGTTGACAAAATAAAAACTTAAGAAAAAAAACACACAAAATACTTTAGTAAATGAACACGGTCTTGGCGAAGCTTATGCCCTTTTCCCTTTCCAACCCGTAGGCCATGGCGGCCGCCGTGGGCTCGTTGATCATGGACAGCACCTCCAGCCCGGCGATCCTACCTGTGAAGACATAGTGAGGGAACTACTTCTTACTTAC